ACCAAACGTGGAGCTGTTCCATAGTATGTCATTTTCCACAATGGTCCATGCTTCACCAAAAAGTTATAGCTTCTAGGCAACTGGTTGAATGGCCATGGTGTATGATCCGACCACAAATCCGTGACAAACACCTGCAACTTGCACTCTTTACACACAGAATATGATCAACAATATATAGTTATACCCCTATAACACAAACCCCTAAAACCCTTGATGTTCCAAGTGCTGCCCAAGAAAAAGAAGACAAATAAAGATAGATCAAAATCAAGGTCTTCTTACTTGTCTTAATCTGGCTGGAAAGAAAAACAAACTCAACCAAACCCATCCAAATCAGTAAAGATATTTTATCAAACGCAAAGAAACCCACCTAACCAGTAATGAGAGTATCTTAGTTAATCTTTTTTCTTTTTCATTTTCTCAGGTTTTCAAAGAGTTACAAGTACAAGAACTATGTGACTCGGTATTTTTCTCCATGCATGGTTCTCATAGTAGCAAGATGCCAACTTTTAAGAGACAAAAAGCTCCAAAACTTACCTGGTACTCATCCCCAAATTCCTCATTGAAGGTAGCCTTAATAGCTTCTGCAGAAGCTCGGTGGCCACCACCAGTATCACTCATCAAAATCAGCACTTTTTTTGGGTGATCAGCCTCGACGCCATTCAAGGGCAAACCCTCCTCCACCCAAACTCCGGCGTTGCCATCTTCTCTCAATCCATTGGTATCGTCCGAACCAACTCGAACAGAAGCGAATCCAATTGGGATCCTATCACAATGTAACCTAATGACTCTATTGAACTCACTCACAATCCTACTAATACTGGAAGAAGCATTGCTTCTGCCACTCAAACTAAGTGAAGCAGCTGTTACACTGTGCCTCTTTTTGGCGGTTGAGCCCTTAAACCCATTAAAATACAAGTAATTTGACTTAAATGAAGAGCAACCATCTGAATTTCCGGGGTAAAATCTAGCATTAAACGTAAAACCACCCAATCTACCCACGAAATCGAAGAGGGTACCGGATTCCTGAGACACAGTTGAAGAGTTATGCATGATGGGTGGTGTTTTCGTGGCAAAAGGTTAATAGAAGGGCCTAACAAATCAATCCATAGCAGTCCTTATCACGTAAGAGTAAATGAGTCGCATGAAAAAACAATCTGCAGAAGATAACAAGAAGAAAACGAGCGCGAGGAGAGAGAGGGAACATGTGAGTGGTAGATGGTTGAAATTGTGGCAGAGAAGAGAGAGATAAACGATTGAGAAAGAAGGAAATCTTGAGAAGGGTTTTGCAGCCACAGATAGAGGATTTGTTAGAGAGAGAGAGAGAGTAGATTCTGGGAATTGAAAAGAAAATGCTCTTTGGAAGAGATGGAGCCAGGGTCCACATTCAATTGGGTCGGGTTGGAGTCTTGGTTGGTTCATCATGAGGTTCGTGCTTGGTCTTTTTTTAGCGGCCACGTTCTTAGTTATCTTATGAAGTTTACCCTAATGTATTTTTTCATAATTTATTAGGTATTATCAATTGATTAAATGCTTACTACTGATTTAATCTACAAAAACATTATATTGTTTGTCAGAGTGTGAAATTATAAACATCTCTCTCTTATTTATTAGATGATATTCTACTATGATATCATTAAATATTTATATGTTTGTAACGTATTGGTCATTAGTAATTTAAAAGATTTGTCAATTAATTGTAATAATTGTGGGGGAGTAATCAAAACACAAATATATATTGAACACAATTTTGATGATTTATATATTACACTTATTGATAAACACCCAATTTTCATTCTTGCTTTCTGTTTGGGGTCACCGACATCAATAAAAATTTTCTTCTTTAAAAATTTAATATTGTGAGTTTGGTGGTGCAAAATGAAGTGTGAATTTCGTGCCGCATATGCATTTTGCAGCCCATGTGGTGAACATGCAATTATAAATTTCAACATAATATCAACTTCTAATCATTATACTTTTCATGATATAATTATATCTTAGGGCGTTTTAATTATTATTTTTAATTTTAATTACTTTAATTTTAATCACAAATTAATTATAAATTAATAGATTGAAATCAATTATTGATATAGCAAATATGTTGAAAAACCTCACAAGTAACAAGCTATTAGTAGGCTATGAAGGAGTTTTTATGATTGAATTGATAAAAAACAAACATAATATAATCTATTTATAGATGAATGTCGCAAGAGTCTTAATAAGAAAATGACTCCTAATTGACAAACAATGTTATCTTTGATAGTATTTGGACTTTTAATAAAATCATAATTTTTACGTGACATATTACACGTGATAAGAATTTTCTATTAAGAAGAGTACTCAGCAAGAACTCTTTAAAAAAGAGTGTGTAGCTTGTGTATAAGTTGAAAGATGATCATGCCTTTATATGATAATGACTCTTTATTATTTATGAGATTCAGGTTGAAATTCGACCAAAATAAGAATAGTGATTGATAAGACTTGTAGAAGAGTGATTGGCCGAGTGTCAAAGACTTTTTAGGGACTCTTTAGCTTATAGAAGAGTTATGGTCGAGTATCCAAGACTTTGTAGAAGAGTAATTGACCGAGTGTCAAAGACTTTAGGGACTCTTTAGCTTATAAAAGAATTATGGTCGAGTATCCAAGACTTTTAGGACTATAAGTTATCGATTACCATGAGTTGTAAAAGAGTAAGAACTCTTAACAGTCGGTTTATACTAAAATTAACTGAGTGTCCATTACTTGTAGGGGAGTGATTGACCATCTTTTCCAGTGGCTTAATTAGACTTCGCATCCATCTTTCATGTGTCTCTAAATTGGACTCAAACATTCTTTCTTTATTGATCAAATCTTGAATAAAAGCTTGAAAGATTTACTTAAGTTTCTTAGTCTCTAATCTAGTGATTGGCCCAGTAAGCATAATGATATCCTTCCATGTGGCCCATGCGCATATTGGGTTGTGTCACTTTATGCTCATCTCCATGTGGACGAGCTTCTTTATGAGTTATGTCTCGAGTTTCTTTATGAGTTGTGTCTTGATCTCCATCAAATTCAGTTGAAAACCATCAAAACCAAAACTAAATAGATAAAGGTAAAGATGATTTCACCATTATCAAAGCTACTTAAATACAATTGAAAATGATTTCACAAAAAATGAGGAAAACAACATAACCAATCAAAGAAAATCATTTATTAAATTTATTTGATATTTTCAATTAGTTCTATTTAAACTACATAATATTAACTTAGTGATGGCAATGAGACGAGTATAAAGTAAAGTTTAACAAACTTGAACTTGTCCCACCTTTATAAAAAGCAAACCCGAACCAAGAGTAAATTTTCAATTTTTTTTTATTTTTCAGACAGACTCAAGTTTATGAATTATTTTATATGAATTCAATCTAATTATTTTATTATATTAATATAAATATAATTATACCTATATAATATAAAACTAAATATATTTATCAATATGTATAATAAAATTATGCTAATTATATTATCAATAAAAATATAAATTTTATTTATTAATTAATATATTTTATTTATATATTTAAATATATTTATATTTATAATAATAAAAAACTAAAACATATACTTGATCTCTGGTTCCCCTACACTAATTTTATCTAAAAAGACTGAAAATAAAATGTAATTTATAACACCCAATCCTTGGATTTAGGCTCGGGATAATCAAAATTATATTAATAATAAATTTAAAAAATTAAAATTTTAATTTTTCTTAGAGATTTTGAAAAAATATACATTTTGGGTATATCTAAAATAATTTTTAAAAGTCAAGATCAAACAATAAATAAGAAATGACTTATTTGAAAAATAAAATAAAAAAATTGAGGCAAAACTGAAAAAAAAAATGATCACGTAGGACCACCACGTCAGCAACACGGCCAATCGTCATGCACCGCATGGTAAACAAATAGATACGCATCCAGACGGGAAGCCACGCGGGCAATCCGTATGCCAACTGATCTGATGGCCCAGATTCACTCTCGCGTGCGTGAACTGCCAAGATTCATTTTCTCTTCAAGCGCGATCGAATGGTCCTGCTACATTTGATCGTGTGGTTCTAATTTATTTTCCAAATAAGATAGATCTAACGGCAGAGATTGGACCATGCATCCTCGAACGGACGACCTGAATTGAAGTGGGAGGAGTATTTAAACTCTTCTTCCATCGAAACTCTAACCCTAGCCACAACTAGCCTGCCGAAAAAGAAGAAGAAGGGGGGCCGAAAGAGAAGCCGACTACCGTCATTGCCGCATCGGAAACCTTGCCGACATTGAAAGGTGAGTTTTTTCTTCCCTTTCAATTCGCATTTCGATTCTAAGCCACCCGAAAGCCATATCGGCGCTCAAACACCAAAGGAGAAGCCAAAAACAGAGGGCGGAGCTCGGCCAAGCCGCCGCACCTGCGACCCAAAACCCCTTCAATAAGCCCGAATCCCCTTCCTATTCCTTCTATTTTTTGACCATTGGATTCCTGACTCGTTTCTGGTGCAGGGCGAACAAAGAAAAACTATAACCGCGAAGGAGGAACGGCATAGCCACTGCACCGAAAACCCCACATGTCGATAAGTCTCGATTTTTTCCTTTTTTCGGCCAACATGGGCCACCTAACCTTGAGTTTTGCTGGTTTTTGCATAGGACCGGCTAAAACTGGCCAAAATCGAAATGAGGCACCATCATAGGCGGCGAAGTCGGCACCGGAGCACGGTGGTGCCATCATGTCGGAACCCTAAGCCGACTTTAAAAAATTTTAACCCCTTTTTGGCCATTTTTTGCGTATTCTTGGGATATTTGACGTGTATTTTTGGTTTTCGCAAAAAAATCTAAGAAATTCGGGAACCGGGAACCGCTAGAAAGTGCAATGAAAAAGACGGTATTTCGAACACCGACCTAGTGTAAGAATTTCTTATCAGTTCTCTCGTTACGGTTAATTAAAGTCTAAATAATAATAAACAGTAAAATTTTTAAATATTACCAACCCCTTATTAATTAAATATAGGTCACTGATGGAGCCGGTAACTGATCAGTGTATAATTGTCCTAGTTTATTAGTACTGCTTATTTATTGATGTACTATTTTGTTTATTTACTGCTACTACATGCACTTTAATTCATTACTTTTAATTGTTTCCTCGCTTATTAGTTTACTCAACCATTTTGTCTCTATCAATTAACTAGTTTGAATGAATGCCTTGATTTCGCATTCTTTAATTATAGAGTATTAAATTATATTGTTTATTTATTATCGTTTTATTGTCCTATAATCATGAAATGAGATTGTTGTATGTAATTGGTGGCTACATGATGATGTGGACATATATATATTAGTTAACGTTATCAAACTAAAGGACTTACCGGGTATCATGGAAAAGAGTGTACGGACCCGATACATAAGACAAACCCTACCATGGGTGTTATTCTCAGTTGAACGGAGCTGAAAAGTCTCATACCAGAAGGGGTTGGAAAGTGTTTTATTCACGCTCATATCGGATGAGGTATTGAGGCGGTGGTATATTTGGCTCCCATTACTGAACAAGGTATAGGGGCAGTCGGTTGATTAATATAATGGATATTGGATCTGTAATGGCCCCAGAAATTAAAAGGAAACACATATATAAAATTCTAAGTGTGGAAGCGAAATAAAATATTATGATTAACATCCCTTACACAATAACCAAAACGAATTAAACGTATGTAAGAATAAGCTAACTAAAGTAAATACTAGAAATGAATACTATAAGGAAAACTATAAAATTTTAATGCATCTACTCGCCGTCTTCCTGCAGAACGAGCTCGGGAACCAAATCCTTCTGATCTGAAATGGTTAAGTAAGGAATGAGCTACACTAGCCCAGTAAAGATGTCACACTATCTCACTGTCACAGAAGTAAAGGTTGGAAGAAAATAAAAACGACCAATGGAGTATAATTTTCAAGTAAATTTATTTATCAATAATAAAACCTTTTAACGTCCACTTACCTCGGTGAGATTCATGAAAACAACTTATGAAAATAATAACATTATAATATCATGAAGTCATACGCACACTGTAACATAACACATGTTATACTTTTAATATGTTAATCACCAAGCAACAAATTTTCTCTTTTACCAGCCTACCAGTATCTATGGGGATCCATAGGGGTTCCCGCCACACGTGAACCATTCATTTTTAACAATTTGATTCCAAGGCCGTCCCCATACCCTGTCCGGTATGGGCGCCAAAACAATAAACCTCAATACCCCATCTGGTATGAGGGTGAAGCGGGCTGTCTCTATACTCCGTCTGGTATGGACACCAAAACATTTAAAGTCTTCATACCCCATCCGATATGAGAGACAACATTCCCGATAGGGTCCCCTATAGACCCAGTCCGTCCACCATCTCCCAGGATCTCTAGTGAGACTGTTAACCTATTCATTTATCAACTCAATCCCATTCCTATTTATTCTTAGTCTCAATTACCCAATCAAATATGAATATGTAAACCAGTAACGAACACCAAACAAGACAAACATAACATCGGGTTCACAATAATCAAACCATAATGAATTAAACAATGCATCATGCATACGAAGTCACAGAATAAACAAATCGGATACTACACTGCATTTAGACTGTAAAATAAATCAAACAGGAACTGACCGAAAAACATATCCGATTCAGGCTCTATTGGCAACCTTAATTAATTATACATATCCATGAATTCATAAAATATCGTTTTATCATTTATTAGACTTTAATACCGTGATAAAAAATAGGTGAGAGATCATTACTCGTTTCGGAGTCTGAAATCGAGTTCTCTCTGTGCCTACGGGCAGTCCCCTAGATTCCCCTGAATTTTTCTCCAAAACTGAAACGCACTTCCGGTACCTGCACATGTCCCCAAAAAACCCAATCAGACCCAGGGCCTATTCGGCCAATTTCAGAATTCCGGCACGGCGGCGATCCACCTCGGGTTAGCTGTTTCTGACCGTTTTCGGTCGAATTCGGCCAAACTTGCATTAGTTCCTGTGATAAAACACCCATAGGGCCCTCGGTGGGGCAAAAAAATTCAGAAAATTGAGACTTACTGACGGCGAAGCCCTCGAATACGGCGGCTCCTCCGGCGCGAGTCGCGATTTGGTATTTTGCTCCGGTCAACCTGTAGAGGAAAGGACGGTGATCATAGTGGTGTAAAAATTACATCGAACGGGAATCAGAAAGGGCCTCATCAGAGGCAAAAATCGAGGAAACCCGCGGCGGCGCCATTGGGCTTTGACGATATTTTTTTGCCAATTGGCCAGTGGTTTAGCTCCGATTTGGCCACAGGTGGGTTCAACATTGAAAACCGAGCTAAATGGAGAAATTTTACCTCGTTTTACGGCCGGAAGGTGCTCTGGTGCGGCGACGGGTGGCGGCGGTCGGTTCCTCCTGTGGCTGGGTTGTCTTCTCCGGTGAGGGTTCTGGCGCCTAGGGTTTGGGGTTGGGTGTGGATGAGGTTATTTATAACATTTTCCTTTTAATCTGAGTCGTCCATCATGTTTTAATCTGAGTCATCCAATCGCGATTAAATTGGGAATGAATCTGGACCGTCCATCACGATGCGATCTGGGTCGTCCGTGCGTGATTCAATCTGGATCGTCCGATCGCGTGCATGCGGATCGCCCACGTGGCTCCGTCCCCGCGTGGCCTCCCGCGTCAGTGTCCCTGCCACGCGGCGTGTCCTGGTTGGCCGGGGATGCTGACGTGGTGTTTGAGAACTTAAAAGGTGAGTATGCAATTAACATTTTCAAGTTAAATGAATTTACCTAGAAGAAAATTAGCTTTATTGGGCATTTTACGATTTTTACCAACATTTGATTTTTTGTATTAGTAGTAAAGTGTTGATATTCTTACTTGATTAGTGTAACTCGTTCTCCCCTTTTATTAACCATTTTAGATGAGGATGACCAAAATTAAGATCCTGAGCAAGTAAGAAAGTTAGTAATTAAAGGTTGTCTCCCGTTTTTTACCAGTTGCGCAGCGGAAGTCGACCACATAGGTTTTTAGTTATACTTTTTTTTTTCTGTTATTTTGATTTTCTTCAAGAGACATTCTTGTGTAATCATATTGGGCATTCTGATTAAACTATGTAAAGAATGTAAACCCTAAATTCTTAATTATTTCTATTAATAACTTATAAATTTTAATATTATTATTCAATTGAATTTTGGACCTTTACGCAGTTCCTTATATGAAACAAATCGGGGGCCTTATAGTCATTTTGTCCTAATAATGAATGAGCTCTTGTTTACCAAATTAATTTCACCACCTACGTGTTATTTTTAGATCATTTTTAAAATTTTAATTTGATGAAATTACAGAAATAGCACTTGACGAAAAAAATCAAGAGATTACATCTTAAATGTTAATTATGTTACTCCTCATGATTGTTAAATATATGTTTCAAGTAAAGATAGAATGAGATGCAGTGGAAGTTTGAAAATTAAAAGTTTAAACAAAGTTTTGTTAATAGAAGGTACAATAAATATCCTGAAAGTTTATTCTTCTTCATTTTTAAGTTTAAAAAAAATAATAATTTAAAAGTTCTCTCCCTAATTCTTGTGCAATTTATTTTGAAATTCACACTATTAATTGTTTAATTATGAGAGTAAAAATCTCATTTAAAATTATAAAAATTAAGTCCATATAAAATTGTCACGTTCATTATACATTTGTGTTGATAGAATTTTTATTTTAATTTGTAATCTATAATTCTACAAAAACTTTGGTGGCTGTACAAATTTGACACACTTGTCGTTGTGTTCACATGACTTTCTAAACGTAACTCATAAAAATATAAAAAAATACACTATAAAATTCAAATTATGCAGCAAAAATATTTACGTAAAACGTGTCTTTCATGAAAACTACCTGGTCCTTATTATTACTTTTATTTTTATTTGCCACAACTTCCTCAAGTATATATAACTCAATATTAATTAAAATTTATAAGTTCCATCTTATTTATTTATTATTTTAAATATTAATTTATATTGTATTATTTATAAAAAAAAAAAAGAGGGGTAAACAGGCTCGTGCGAAATCAATGGCTGACGAGCCAAGCCTTTTTCTCATCATTTCACAGAGAAACGAAAGATCAGAGCCGGTCGTTCGTTTAATCCATCGAAGGGTCAATATTGGACGAGAAAGCGACCGCAAACGTCAGAACAAAGACCTGTTTTCGTTGTTGTAGTCATACTCCTACGAGTTACGAGTGATGTAGATGGGGCCCACACACGTGTAAATAGCAAGTCTACGGCGGGGACCCACCCATAACGAGCGCGTAAAAGAACGCGACTTCTCTTCCGATTAATTACGCAACAGAAAATGTGTTCCTTTCACGTTTTTACTTTTTACTTAATTTGATATGATTTATTATTACATATTAAATTAATTAATAAAATTAAATACAGAAGAAGTCAAACTTCATGGTAATTAAGTTCTAACATTAAATTTAATCTTTTAAAAACACATAATTATCCAACAATATATACACATAATATATATATATATATATATGTGTATAGATACAGAGACGCAGTCCAAAGAAAAAGAGTGAAGAAGCTTCTTGTGGCAAACAGTGGTGCAATAATAATTGTGAGGGAGAATTTCATGATTAAAATTAGGAAAAAGAAAAAGTCAAGCAAATTTGGAAAAAGCTTTAAACAAAATAATAGATGCCAATCATTATCCCGCATCAGTTTTACACACAGACCAAATTCATTAAACCAATTTGATAGAGGAAACAAATTAATTAATAATTACGCATTGACCCATTTTATGATCATCTACAATCAAGATCAATGGCTAAGAAAATATCCATCCTATAATCAACACAAACACCTATCGATCATCATATCAGGAAAAAGAAAAATAGATCGGAAACCCAATCAAGTCATGTATAGCTCTTTTATTGTAGTGGCAGCCAATCCATGAAGGGTGAAAAGACTAGCAATCTCGAGTTTTCTCTGTGGGCGAACTCAGTGGAAAGAGAGTCAAGAGTTCCGGCGGCTGGCTACTTCTGGGAGTATTCAAGGGGGAGGGATGAAAGTAAAAACCCTTGTCGGCGATGGCTTTTTCCTCCTCAGAAGAGGGTGATTTGCTGCTGGGACTGTGGAAGAAGAGTGAGTCGGATCCAAGTGGGGTGACGGGACTAGGAGTGGGTGAGTCAGGGTTGTGAGTTTGGCGAGTTGGGGAATCATTACAAATCAAGCCGAGCTTGATTTCGAGCTTGCGCATGGAGTGCCTCCGTTCTTGGAGCTTGAAAGTGGAGCGTCGGGGAGCGGTGGAGTCAGCGGCGGCGGCGGTGGAGAGAGAAGGTTTGGATGAGAGCCTGGGAAGTTTGTGGGAGTCAGTGGCTAAGCCGGTGAGTCGCTGAACAAGATCCCTGAAACTGTTAGTATCTGCTTGTACAAAGGTGGTGGGAGCTGGGGATGTTGGTGGAATGGCGTGTAGATGGTGGTGTCTTTCCATCTGGAGGAAGCAAGAGAGATGGGAAATGAAATGATCATGTGAATGAGAAGGGTTATATGTGTGTGTATATATATGTATATATATAAATATGTGTGTGTGTACGTGAAGTCTTGGAATAACTGTTTGGTTTGGGAGAAAGTGATTTTTCTTTTTCTTTTCTCGGTTAGAAAGAAAGTACCTCAAAATTAGCGTAAAAAAGGTCCTGCAAAATAATCGCCATAGTTGTCATGGCCCCAACTGTTATATTTTACTTGTATAACAAATAAATTTCTTTTATGCAATTTATTTATAATTTAATGTTGTTTTAACTACGTAGTAATATCAAAATTTTAAATATAATTGAAGAAAATATATTTATTTGGAAATAATAAAATTTATTTATAAATGATACTAATCTAACTAAGAGATGATGGATTTTTTCAATGACGTTACGAATATATATATATATATAATAATAATATACATATATAAAAAAAATCTAAATACTCATTATATTACTCTTTATTTTCGATTTACCCATTAATTTTATTTGCAGAATATTTTTTAAAAAAATAATAGAATTCAACAACATTTGAACCTAAAAAAAAATATAAATTAATTTTTAAATAGCATTTTATTCATCAATATAATTTGATCAAATTAATAATTTATTCTAACACACGTTTCTAATTACTAATCCATAGACACCTTCTTCTTTTTTTTTTTGTTTACTTACTTTTCTAATAAAATTACTTGAATAGGTAACATAAGTACACATATAGTCAAACCTCTCTAAATAAATTTTGCATTTTTCTTTCTTAATTCCTTTTATTTTTAGTATTGCATTTACTTTACATATTAAAGATATTAGTTTGTATGAAATTCTTACTATTATTAATTTTACACTTGACAATTACCTTGGTTTAGTTGAAATTAATATTTGATATTATTAATATTATTATATCTTACTATTAATTGTTGCAAACTTTTGAATTTTTAAATTTAAGAAACCCAATCTATCCTCTCTTTTATTGCCATAAAATTTAAAGCTAATAGAAACATATTAGGGTCATAACCTTTTTTAGAAACCTACAATCTAGCATATGTTTTTCTCACATCAAATTATAATAAAATGTATTTTTTTTTAAACCAAATACATTAAAAAAATTAACATATTAGTTTTTAAAATTTGATATATAACATTTTTTTGTTATAATTTTGTAACACCCCAAAATACAATTTTTATGTAATTTAAAATTAATAAATATAATTTTTTAATTTTTTCTAATTTAATTTAGAGTAAAAATGAAGTAAAAATTGAAGAATGATGAAATTGAAAACAATTTTGGAAAAAATAGGTGAAAATTTTGTTATAGGGGTATTTTTAAAAGAAAAATCAGAAATCATGGGTCAAACTGTAATTTAAGAAAGTTCTGTCGCGTGGGACGCCCGGTCAGCAGCTCCGACGAACTAGGACGCACCGTGTGGCAGCGGATGCTAACGCAGTGCCACGCGAGGGAGGGGGGCCACGTGGACGGTCAGTGTGTCCGCGATCGAACGGCTCAGATCCGTTCCCGCACGCACGAACGGCCCATATGCGTTCCCTTCCCAAATGCAATCGAACAGTCAGATATGAACACGATCAGATGATCCAGATTATATCGCAATGGACAGTTCAGATTGGATCGCGATAGACGGTCCTGATTCACTCCCTATTTATCGCAATCAGACGGTCCAGATCAAATGCGATAGACGACCCATATCAAAAGCAGACGGATATAAATAACCCCATCCAAAACCAAACCCTAAACCCTACCGCCCAGACCCCCTCGCCGGAGAAGAAGACTCGACCGCCAG